CTTCCTTAAATTAAATTCTAATTGGAACATGCCATTTTTCCCCACACTGAGACTCTGAGTGTTATAGGCCCTATGGAAGAAAGTAATGAAAATAAAGAAAAGGTAGGAAGAAAGAATTAATAGATGTCTTTGTACTTCCCAAATCTATTAATAAACTTTGATTTTGACTGCTTTTTGACTTGCATTTATTTCTCTCCAGAGCTTGAGTTAATTTATTAACCTTGTTTCATTAAATTTCTAAATCTTATGTAATTTAGAAGACCTATGATAAATACCGTTGTGTTTTTTTTTGTTGGTTGATTTGCTTTTTTAGATTCCTCCTGAAGATACAGCATCCACCCGATCTTCATTCACTGTCCAGGACCTTAAACCTTTTACAGAATATGTCTTTAGGATTCGCTGTATGAAGGAAGATGGTAAAGGATTCTGGAGTGACTGGAGTGCAGAAGCAAGAGGGATTACATACGAAGATAGTAAGTAAATAAGTATATGAAGAAATGAAACTACTGGAATTCCGGCTCTGAATTCTGTCTGCTTTTAATAATGTAGACCTCATTGCTTACGTTGTGGTAATTTTATTCAAACTAGGACTTGACACTTTTATTTTTAAGGACATTAAGATACAAAATTTAATGTGCATTGTTGATAGTATAAGTGTATTTATACCTAATTAAATAAAATTTCAAGGAATGATGATTTAACAGTTGATAAGTCCAGAACATTTTATTAAAGGAGAGTAGTCCAGAGCTATCCCTAACTAGAAAATCATATCCTGACTCATTAAAATCACACTAGCTAGCAAAGTACACCATAGACCCTTACATCAAAAAAGACATTTGTGCTATATTTTTTTATTCATTGTTTTCTAACAGCACTTGATAAGACCCTGGAAAAAGATCCTTAAGTTTTGGTTGGTTGGTTGATTTTCATTTTCCTTTTTTCCTCATGATGCAGCATAAAAATGTATAAATAAAGTGGTGTACCATTTCAAGTAAGATTTCCTCTCCAAAACAGCTAGCATTACTAATTTCTGTAGCCATCAAGAAATAGCCCTATAGCATAGAGATTTTTCTTTTTGAACATTTTCCTATCACAATCTCACCCTTTAGGAGTCAGTGGCAACAATCATGGCTTAAACCTCCTCTACTGCCTCTATCCCTTCACTTCCAGTTCTACTAGAGGTTTAGATAGGTAGTGAATTGAGAATGTCAAAGGCATAAAGTAAAGTACCCTTCTCCAAGAAGGATTTTCTCTCATTCTCATAAATACCAGGAAAGAAAGCAATCCTGCTATTGCTGGTTCGGGGGTCCTCAACCAGATTCCTTTCTCTTGGCCAGGAATACTTAAACTAGATACTTGGGGCCTTTTTAAAAGTACTTGGGTCAATTTGGGTGAGTTCCTGAACTGCTTAAAATGTAGACAAAATATGCTGGCTAGCGCCTCTGTGCATTTTCTGGGGAGGTGGGTGGTACCTTTGTCAAATGAAAGAGATCACTAGAGCCCAAAAAGTTATGAATCATTAATTAACTTAGTGAATGAAGCCTCTAGGTTTACTTTATTTATAACCCATAAAATTTTCTTTATAATTTTGTGTTCTTACGTATTTTTATACTTATGAATTTATCTGTTTTATGAATTTATCTGTTTGAACCCCCTCCCTGCACATTCAGCCTTTTCCCCCACCTGCTGGTCTGCTGTTGCCCTTTTCTGTTTTATCAGCTATGATTACCTCTTCATGATCACATCACTGCTTAGATTTTATTGCGATCCCTTTTCAAATTCTATTGAATACCATATTTTGCAATTTTTATAAAATTTTTAAAAATCAGTTGATCCTACAGGAATTTTAAAAACCTAATCACTAGCATTTGATACTTTGTTTATAAAGTGCATTTTTTCACATGGTTGGTGATTATCACAACAGTCTTGTGAATTCATTTGTATCATATCCTATTATACTGAATCATCCTAACATAACGTAATAAACTTATACTATATTTACTCCATTTTTAAGTTTGTTTTATATTCTTACATTTATACATGTAAGGGTTTTAAGCATATATTTCAATATGCTTTTCAATTTTATTTTTAGCAGTAAGAAATAGTAATGCATGTATAGTCATGAGATGTAAAATACAGCATAGGGAATATAGTCAATGGTATTGTAATCGCTATGTACAGTGTCAGGGGTAGTAGACTTGCGGGGGTGGTTATCACTTTGTGAGGGGTGTAAATGTCTAATCATTATGTTGTTTTGTACACCTGAAACTAATTAAAAACAAGAAATAGCAATGCATCTTTAGTTATTGTTTAAGATATATTTGTAGCTTTACAATTTTAAAATTATAAAAGAGTCCAATAAATCTAAATCATCATGCTATCACCCTGACTAAAGGAAGACCCAGGCATATCATGCTGGGTTGGGAAAATGCTGGTATAAAAGAAACACCATGTGATTGGAGAGCAAGAATATTAGGAACAAAGGAAGAGAATAATTTCCAGAATTGTATTTTACTGTTATAATGAAAACTTTTATTTTAAAGAGTTTATGTCATTTCTTTAGGACCATCCAAGGCACCAAGTTTCTGGTATAAGATTGAGCCATTCCATACTCATGGCTATAGATCTGTACAACTCATATGGAAGGTAAAAAAAAACACATGTGCATAATTATTTTATCTCTTACATAAATACATTGTATATTGTATAAGTGGAGTTCTTTTAACTTAAATTTTTATTCATACTAATATCCGCAAAGCATTTGATAACTATTTTTAATAAATAAAAACACAAAACTTTATAGACACTATCCAGAAGTCAGGTTCATAAACTGCAGGTAATACCTCATAGATACTTGAACACAGTTCTATGAAACTTCTGTAAGAAGTGGACCTTGTTTTCTGTTGAACTTTTCTGAGTGCCTCAGGAAATAATAATGGTTTGGGGCAGAGGTCAGCAAACTTTCGAGACAGAAGAGCCGCTGGGGGTCAGCAAACTGCAGCTCATGAACTGTGGCTCTGAAGTAACATTGAAAATGAAAATAAAAGTATCATCGTTTTATTTATAAAATTTTTAAAGGATATTCACATAATGGTGATTATGTGAAAATATATTTATGGCTCTTGAATAATTTTTAAATTGTTGTGAGGGACAGAATTGGCTGTTCCAAGGGTCAGCAAACTTTTGAGATGGAACGCACCTCGCAAGCCACAGTTTGCAGACCCCTGGTTTGGGTTAATCAAAATGTATGCCAATAATAGGAAATAAAAATTATTGTGCCCTCCATAAATGTTCATGACTAAATCATTCTAAAAACAGGTAGAGAAAAATAGTCATAAAATAACTTAGGCCCACTTAGCCACAGTGCAGAATTGTATACAGAACTAAAAGGTAACAGAATGATGCTACTTTTCCTCTTAGTTGAAGTCATGCTTTTACTCTTAAATTAGTATGTAATAGTTTTACTTTAGTAGTGAGTTCAAAATGAGATTGTCAGTCCATTTCAATAAATATTTAGAGATTTGACCTAATAGAATTTGTGAATATGAAAAAATAATACTTAACTCTATTCAATATTTATGAAATACGTTTTTAAAATATTTTATTGCAGACATTGCCTCCTTTTGAAGCCAATGGAAAAATCTTGGATTATGAAGTGACTCTCAAAAGATGGAAATCACATTTACAAAATTACACAGTTAATGACACAAAACTGACAGTAAATCTCACAAATGATCACTATATAGCAACTCTGACAGCAAGAAATTTGGTTGGCAAATCAGATGCATCTGTTTTAACTATTCCTGCCTGTGACTTTCAAGGTTTGTGTCTGTGAGATGGGACCTGATTTGTGGGTGGGGAAAGGTGATTAACTATGGACAGGGCTCCTATAAAAACATAAATATTCGAAGACCATCTCCTCAGTATCAGTGGATGAACATAGTTTTACAAATCAGTCTGCAGCCAAATAATCTACATGTCTCTCTTAAACTTTGCTTTAAGCTCCTTAATAAGCATTTTCTGATTATGTATATTTATCTGGTTTTTATAAATATTATTTTAAGGTTTGGGAACTTTATGACTTAAATATATTATTTATCTGTAGCTTTCAAAGAAGAAAAAATTGCAATTTATATACACAAACATTTGAAGAATTTTGGAAAGGGAAGAATTTAAGTTTCAAATACGTTGATTATCTACATGTAAATTTTAATGAAGCGCTTTTATACATGTTAATACAGAGGGTGCCAAAAACATGTATACACATTTTAGAAAGGAAAACTGTATTAAAATTAGATACTCAATATACACCGATAACAAAAGATGAATACAAGTCACGTTTGACTTCTGCAGTTACTAGAGGTGCTCAGAGTGGTTACTATCAGCATCCAGACACTTTTGATTACGGCGAACTACTTTTTAAGCATAGTTAATATCTTTTAAAATGTGTGTACATTTTTTGGCTCCCCTGGTATGTGCTACAAAAACTGATAGCAAGATAGATCACATGGTTGTGGAAATGAATGTAAAATATCATAATTTCAAATTTTTAAATGTTTATTTATCATTGATATTCAAACTTTATTTTAAAGCTACTCGCCCCATAACGGATCTTAAAGCATTTCCCAAAGATAACATGCTTTGGGTAGAATGGACTGCTCCAAAAGAATCTGTAAACAAATACATACTTGAGTGGTGTGTGCTATCAGATAAATCACCCTGTGTTCTAGACTGGCAACAAGAAGATGGTAATGTGCATCGCACCTATTTAAAAGGTATACCTAACTTAAACATTTAAATTGATACACTTTTTATAACTCTTTAGACAGATTTTTCTTTTACATACTGTCTTCTGCTTTATAGGCATTGTGGTCCATTGAGAAGACTTCCAGTTTATCATAGGTACTAGTATAGTAAAGCCTTGGATTGTGAGTGACTTGATTTACGAGTGTTCCACAAGACGAGCATTTCTATTAGGTTGGTGCAAAAGTAATAGCGGTTTTGGCAAAAAACAAACACTATTACTTTTGCACCAACCTAATAATACATTTTAACTTAGTAAATGAGCGATGTCTTGCAATATGAGTAGTTTGTTTCAAGAACAAATTATGCTCGCAAACCGAGGTATCACTGTATATCTAGTTTACTAGATATGTGACTCTCAGCAAGTCACACTTAACCTCTGTGAGCTGCAGGGTCTGTTTATGGACAGAGTAGGGCAATACTATCTTCTCTTGATACTCCAGTACTGTTTTGATCATCAAATGAACATTCACAAAACTGTAAACTTGGAGAGAAATACAAGATACCCTCTCCTGCTAACTAGTTGTATGGTCTCTGTACCTGATTTAACTCCCTTATCCTTCAGTGAGAAAATACTTTGCTGCATCATCTGGGTGACTTGCTAACTTCTCACAGCTGTTGAATAGGGGAAACACACGTAGAACTCAGATTTCCTTATGTATTTTCACTGGAAATACTAAGGACAGGAAGTAATGATATTATAGAGTTCCAAAATAGATTGCTCTGTGTTTTAAGGTACTACCTGTTAGGTACCTTTGAAGTGTTATAACAGCTTTAAAGACAAAACAAAAACATTCAGCTTATATATGTTTTTTCAGTAAAGAAGGATAACTAGAATTCACATTATGAGTAATGTCATTAATCAGAGAGAAGCTTGAGCAGACATACATGCCATACCAACAAGGTAAAGTTTGTAAGCTTTATTCATAAAATAGAGTGTTTGGCCCTCGTTAACCTACTATTTAATACACAATTTTAATAAACTTAGCTGTTTATCAACCTTATCAAATTATAAAAGCATGGTGAAGCTAGAGAGGAGACAGATTGGTAATAACTAGACAATAGAAGCTTTTTGATAAAGCACAACATAGCCTCTGGAGACCTTCAGGTTGCACAGGTATCAATAGCCCTGATGACATCACTGGATTACAGCAGAATATAAAAAAGTCATTCATCTTATTGATAATATTGAGCTATCAAGAAAAGGTAAAATTACTCTGTTTAAGATGGCAATGGATCATATATTACTTCATGAGTAATACTTAAGGAAATGTAAATTTCGGTTGAAGGTGTAACTTCTGTATAACACCTTATTTTCTGATGTACACAGATAAAATGCTTTATTAAAAAAAACTTACTATTGCATGCTAAAGGAATAGAAAACGTTAATTTGGGGAGATTATAAAGAAGTATTCAAGATTATTTTTTCTTTTAAAATTGTGTTACTTTCTGGGGGAAATAATGCTAAACTTTCTGGGGGAAATAATGCTAATTCTGTTTTTCCATCAGCTAACAAACTAGGGCCATTAGTGCTTTCTCTAGCTCTTATTTGGTGGCATCTTGCTCATCAGGCAGGTACCAGAGAATTAGGTAAGATTTACAAAAACTGTCAAACAGGAAGTAAGACCCAGGATAATTTGAAATCAGTGTTTTATAAATCCTGAATATAAATGCAATCATTACTTTTACTGACAATATAAAATTTTTTTATCCACTGTATTGGCAATAAAAGTAACCTTTTACTTTCATAATTAGTTTTACATTACTAAGCTTGAATCCAGTGCACAAAAGGCAGTGCTTACCTTAAAAAGCTGCAGTTTTAAAAGAAAGTTCAGTGGTCATGAAATTATAATGCAAAAATAAATAATGGAGTTAGACATTTTTGTTATAGAAAAAGCAATGCTTAATCTACTGTTTTTACTTTAGGGAACCTAGCAGAGAGCAAATGTTATTTGATAACAGTTACTCCAGTGTATGACAATGGACCAGGAAGCCCCGAGTCTATAAAGGCGTACCTTAAACAAGCTCGTAAGTCCAAACTCACTTTCTTTGAAAAATGTTGAGCTTTGTATTAACAAAGACATTTTATCCCTTTTAAACAAGGATATGTCTCGTTATGTTGAAATAACTTTATGATAATGAAATTTTACTAAACTCTAACAATTTTCACTTAGCAAATACCTTTATTCTTTTCCAGCACCTTCCAAAGGACCTACTGTTAGGACAAAAAAAGTGGGGAAGAATGAAGCTGTCTTAGAGTGGGACCAGCTTCCTGTTGATGTTCAGAATGGATTTATCAGAAATTATACAATATTTTATAAAACCAACATTGGAAATGAAACCGGTACTAAAACTATAGATTATTTTTTTCTTATATTAAGTCTCACCATCTTATATTATACATCTTAGTATATTATCCTCAGAAAAGAGATATCTGAGAATATGCCTTATGGTTGCGTTCATGGTTCTATTAAAGAAATATTGTGTTGTGCTTAGAAGAGAAGGATATTTTATCACAGTTATGAAAGTTGTTTACTGGTAAACTATATTATTTCTTTTAATACTTTCACAATGTCAAATATATGCCAAGTGAAGCAAAAACATTGAATAGTTGAATAATGCATACTTATGGATTTGTTCCAGCTGTGAATGTGGATTCTTCCCACACAGAATATACACTGTCCTCTTTGACTAGTGACACTTTGTATATGGTACGAATGGCAGCATACACAGACGAAGGTGGAATGGATGGTCCAGAATTCACTTTTACTACACCAAAGTTTGGTAAGAAATAATGACATTTAGTCTTCCTTTTCTGTTTGTCTTTTTAAAATTTAATCAGACTAAAAATGGACTTAGTTTATATGCTAAAATTTTGTTAAAAGAACATCTTTGGATTCATAGAAATGAAGTGTGAAGTATTCAGAAATTAGGACATTTATGTGTTGTTTATCTGGTTTTAGTTGTTTTCTTTAAACTATAGAAAATATTTTCCTCACCTTTTTTCTTGTTTTCTTTAACTGTTTCTGACTGATTTCACCTATACCCTAATAAATCCCAAAAGAATTTGGGCATCTTTCTATATAAGTTCACTTTTTTCCACCGGCAAAACTTGGGTGTGGCCTCTTTCCTTCTTCTCCTTTTGTAGGTAGGTTGCTGGAAAGACTAGTGTACCCCTGCAGTCCTCCACCTCCATACCTCCAGCTCAGTCTTTAACCTGCTGAAACCAGGCTTCCAGTCCACCACTCCACTGACACCTCTCTGGCGTCATTCATAGAAGACCTCTTAGTTGTCATATCCAGCAGATGCTTTTTAGTCTTCATATTTTTTTCCTACATTTCTCAGCATTTGACTCTGTTGGCCTCTCCATCCTTGGAACTGCTTTTTCCCTTGGTCTTCCAACCTTTTTTTTTTTTATTATTTATATTTCAAATGGCACTCTCTTGAGTCTCCTCCTCTCTGCTACTTCCTTTTTGGTCTCCTTTTCTGCTCTTTTAATGGTTTGTATTCTCTAGAGCCCTGTTCTTGGCCCTATTTTCTTACCTGCCAATTCAATCAGCCTATTCCCTGTCCATGACTTCAGCCATCCCCTCTTTCTTTCCCATATATACTTACCTTTCTTTGTTCCATGCCACATCTATCCAAGTCTAGGCCAAAGCCAGAAATTTGGATGCAATTTTAGTCGATTTTTGCTTTTTTTTTTTTTTTCTGGCTTACATAAGCCAAGTATCAAGACCTATTGATTATACCTTCTAATTAATGCTTGTGCATGTCCTTTCATAATCTCTTTCATTGACCCTAAGCTTCTCACCATTTTCTCTATCTTTTTCTGTCTTTCCCAATGCTTTGCCCTATGTTAGGTCTTCAGCTTCATTTGTTTTTAGCTATTCCTTTAGCCTTCCTTAAGCAGACTTAAGCAACATTTTTTCTTGTTCTTACTACATTTTAAATCACTATAGAAACTAAGCTACCTTATTATAATTATATTTGTCACCCAACCCCACATACCAACACACTCAATGATAAATAGTAAGCTTCATATTCCTTATTGGTTGAATGATTGTTAAATGAGAATACGTAAATGGATGAACAACTACATAGAATAGACAATAAAAGATCTGGAGCTTTGCTTTAATGGCCAATAATAAATATAGTTTCTGGAATAAGATTTGTAGTGACAGTTAGAATATATATGTAATAAATATTTGAAATCAAGCTTTGTGCCATGATCTTCAGAAAAATAAAAATAACCTTTTAAAATATTATCCTGATTATAAAAGTAATGTTCAATATACAGAATTTGTATTATACAGTAAAATACAAAGTGAGAGAAAAGTCACTCCTAAATCCCTCATGAAAATTATCTCTTAACATAATTTGTATATCCTAGTTTTTTTATGCATA